CTCCGTGGGCTGTCCCTTTGGATCCACCCTCTCGCTCAGAAGTCGAACGTGAGATCGGACTGTTGAAGTTGAACAAAGCCGAGGGATCAGATGATCTTCCTCCAGATCTCTTCAAATTCGGAGGCTCTGCTCTTGTTGATGCTTTACATGAATTACTAGTGAAACTGTGGGAGCAGATTGTCCCAACCGACTGGAGCCGCTCCGTTATTGTTCCCATCTTCAAAGGAGGCTCGCCCTCGGAATGCGCCAACCATAGAGGAACCAGTCTGATCTCCATCGCCTCCATAATTATTCATAGACTGACTGGCGCTCGTGAAAGCCAGATTCGTGAGCAGCAAGCCGGGTTTCGTCGTGGTCGTGGCTTCATCGACCACATCTTCATCTTGCGTCAGTTGTTGGAGCACCGCCACACATATTGGCGCCCCACCGTAGTCGTGTTCCTCGACATCAAAGGTGCCTTCGATTCGGTTGATCGATGTGCCCTTTGGAATTGTCTACTCAGGAAAGGTGTGCCCGAAAAATATGTAAATATTATCCAATCATTATATTTGCGTAGCACGGGCAGAGTGAGGGCTTACGGCAAGCTCTCGCCACCCTACAATATTTCCAGCGGTGTGAGACAAGGATGCCCCTCGTCACCTTCCCTCTACAACTTCGCTATTGACGAAGTCATGGAGATTGCATTTACAGGACATGATTTGGAAGGTGTGCAGATACTCCCAGGAGAACGACTTCTTGACTTGGAGTATGCAGACGACATTGCCCTCATCTGTGACAGCTCCCAGACGTGCCAAGCCGCGCTGGACAGATTAGCACTGGCTGTCAGTCGCTTCGGGCTTTGCTTTGCACCATGGAAGTGCAAAGCTTTCCTCCAAAATTGGCAGGGATCACCCCTTGTGCTGACCCTTGGTGGGGATCAGCTAGAAGTCGTTCCGAAATTCAATTACCTGGGAAGTTGTGTCAGTGCTCTTTGGATCGAAGACGAGATCACGAACCGTATAGCGAAAGCGCAAAGTGCTTTTGCTAAGCTTCGCCACCTATGGCGGCGGCGCGACATTACTCTCGCCCTGAAGGGTAGAGTGTACAATGCAGCGGTACGTTCGACCTTACTGTACAGTTGCGAAACCTGGCTCCTAAGATCGGCGGACATGAAGAGGCTACTTACGTTCGACCATCGGTGCCTTCACAGTTTGGCTCACGCGGTGGGAACACCGCGTGAGTAACGAGCGTGTTCGACGCCTTGTTTACGGCACAGGAAAAGGATCTGAACCGCTCAGCACCGTTATTTCCCGCACCAGGCTCCGATGGCTGGGCCACGTGTTGCGCATGTCAGCCCACCGACTCCCTCGACGTTCGTTGTTTGCTCACCGGGGATGTGGGTGGAAGAAGAGGAGAGGTGGCCAAGCGATGATTTGGTCCAGAGGAATGAAGTCCCTCACTTCTGAGCTGGCCTCGGTTGGAGCTTCACGGCTCCCTGGTTGGTGTCCAAAAGACGGTGAACACGTTTGGTTGGATACACTTGCTGACATGGCAAGGTGCCGACCTCAGTGGCGTTCTTGCTGTGAGTTTCTTTGTCCCCATCCCTCCATCTACGATCTCATTTCGTAGGGTAAAACATAAATTTTTTTGCTGCCTAGTAGCTGGCTGGTAGCTTACCGGAACTATGCCTATCCGTTGCTGGTAGCTCAGCTGGCATGCAACTGTCGTATTTATTTTTCCTTTATGTATTGTGTGCATGTATGTATTTCCTTTATGTATTGCGGTACAATAGCGGAGGTGTTTTCCCACCTCTAGCTGACATGTATAACGATGATGATGATGATATTTCCAGCCTTACATCATTGATGACGAGGATTAAGCTTAGTCACATATATGAAAGATGTAGTAGTCACACTGAGTCACGAGTTATGGTGGCCAATTCATGCGAAAGAAACATGCACAAACATTAGGAAGCCGTGGTTGGAAGATGCCTGTTTGACACCTTCTTTTGTGATATCGAAATCACGCTTCAAACAGCCCCACCGGTAGTGATACAACTTCCCAGATAGACCAAACCCTCAATCACCAGTGTCTCGGCACCAAAGGTAGGTACAGGCACAAACATATCAGTTTTGAAAGAGAGCTCTGCACTTGGATCAGAAAAAGTGTATGACATACTTTGATGCCTCAATCGTTAAGTGGAAGAAGTTGGACAGCGTGTGGTCTGTCAACCAGCCAGACGATATCATCAACCTATTCCAAATCAAAAACTCGTTGACCTGGGAGGAGCTCAACGTCAAGGCTCCACGAGTGGTCCAGATCATTATTTGAGACATCCTTAACAGACTTTTGAAGAGGAACGTCCTGTACCGACCCCACTGGTGACAACAAAGCAAAGAGAAAGCTTAACATAAGCCCTAACTCAGCCTCATATCCGACAATACAGAGAACGTAGTACGGAAACGAACTTTCTAGGGACGCCATTTCATGATAGAAAGTCACATCGAAAGAATCGAAAGCAGCAAGGATATCCAGAAACAAGACAATCGGTTGCTCTTGATATACATGACACAGGTCAGGGATTTAATGGTGTTAACAGCCACACAAACCTCGGCAATGCACGTGGTGAGTTCAGTGGTAATCTGAGCAACAATAATCTCTCCCAAGTAATGCTTGTGTTCGCCCGTGAAAAGTACTCCCAGAGAAGCGAAAATAGAGACTGCGAGTTGCGAAAATGTTAGACACTTGATCATTCCAATGCTCAGTCAGTGTCAAACATCAAGTCCAGAGGTATTAGAGGAAGTTCCCCCTCCCGATTTTATGCCAGTTTGTGATCCACTAATTTGCTCTACGTAGGGCTGAAAAGTAGACCGTCAACCCGTGATCACATAAGTGATTATTTTCGGAGACAGACTGGATGACGCCCATTATCAATGTGGATTTTGTCATCCGGTGCAACAAACATGTGGCAAAAATATCAAGCAGTACGCCGGTACGCAGTACCGACGCTTCGCTGCTGCGCAACCACCACCAGTTGCACGTGGGCTAGGGATACTGCGAGAGTCGCCCTATCCCTACACAGGCTCGAACCCGCACCGCAAGATAACGAGACAAGCTCGTTACCTGTAAGCTACGAGCCGGCAGCATACACGAGGGCGAATGATAAACGGACACTGGAAATACCAAATGCGCGTACCGAACCTGTGCACTCAGAAGCAATTTGTTCAGACCACACAGCTGCCCTGGCCCGATCGAATAGTGATTTTTACTCAGTTGGATCGCGTGAAAGCTCCGACATCAACCTAATTAATAGCGATAGTTGACCTCTTCTAAACTGATTTTACCTCGTTTTAATAACCCCAGCAATCTGTCTAATTGAAGTAACTGGGATATAGTTGTACTAACCTGACGGAGAATTATTTAAAACATATGTTCGATAACACTGACTGTTGATTATCTAATGGGATTCTAGAAAGTACCAAATTGTGGCGCAATGTGCACCACATGTTTTGTGTGACCGCAATCCATATGTGGATGCCGGTAGCTATTCAGCCATGAAAAGCCCTTTTTATCGAGCTGTGGGTGTCACAACCATAAACGCTAGAGCGATATAGTGGACATGCACAGGATGCAGTCTCCACCAAATCCATTGGCGATACCAATGTGGTGGAGTAAAAGAAGTGGCAGCGCTGGACCCCCACATAATGAGCATCAGCATTTACTCGGCCAGACGACCTCGTGTTCCGGACATGTTCAGTGCCACGTCTGAATTGGTCCGGAACTATGCTGACATCGTGTTGCCTTCACAGCCCAGGCTTTGGAGCCAGTTCGTGAGCGAGCCCGTGATTCCGCCGCCTTGTTGTTCAATGCTGATGCGCAACTGGACGAGCAGATCGCTGAGGTCCGTGTAGCTAGGCAACACAGCCGATGGCTCTATGCCCAGCTGCGTCTAGGTGAAACAGTCATTTCGGTATATTGGCTGGTATCGGTTGACCCCACAGGGCGTGGCGAATGCAATTTTCGTGACTATCGGGTTACAGATCCGCCCGCTAAGGATACAAGTTGCTACACTGCGAATGAAAGCGATTGCGTTAAGGATGGATGCAATCCATTGAGAAATGGTGTAGACAAAGGTGAAAAAAGCCTCGAGCTAGGCAATGAGCGTGAGGTGTACGGAGCGGTTTGAAAAAAAAAACAATTTAAGCGCTGAAACGCAGTAACAATAATCCATGGGTAGCTAGCTCTATTCTCCAGTGCATTGTCGGCGATGCCCACTGACAGAGTGGGCACTAGCGTTTGGCAGTGGCAGAACAACGACATACCATTCCCACGGGAATCAAACCACACATGCATGTTAAACGATGTAGAGAATCAACACGGTTAGTGTCAGATCAATGCAGCCTAAGTGCAAGCGGCTGCGCAGTAACAAAAAGGGTCGTCCAATATGAGGTTGTAAGCCGAGTTAAAACCTGCATTGAAGGCTACGTAAAGGTCCCACAACCGAGGACTAGTTGCGTTGACAAAATGACTGTGTGTAGATTTGAGCGGAAACGCAAACTCCGGAAAGCGACTGTCGGGTTTTAGTGTTAGCTGATCTCGGATAGGAGGAGGTTGGAAGCTGAATATCAAAGGGTGTGGTCCCAGTCGAAAAGTAATGTATCCGACTCTGCAAGCACAAATACTCTGGGCCAAAGAGTTTCAAAGGACGGACAATGCTGTATGGGCACCCGGATACAAGGAGGAATCCCAGACGAGTAGATAGCAACAATGTTAGCAGCCAGCCTGTACTGACGAGAAAACGAAAGGTTGAATAGCAGCAGAAAGGAAAGGCAAGCGGTATCACATTCGAGTAGCTGTTGCCAAGAATATAGGGTGATACGAAGCCACAGGCTACTCGATTCGAGGACACATATCCAGTGCCAACATCAATGTATAGGGATTTGTGCAAAAGAGTACGGAACGCGACCCCATAGCATAGGTTTGATGTAGAGGCAGCCAAAAGACATTTTAAAAAAACTTACGCGTTATTCGCATTTTGGAAGCAGGCGATGTGGAAAGAGGGAACGAAGCAGGTTGGTCCGGGGACACGAAACTGCCGTTGATGCGGTTCCCTTCACTGGCAGCTTCATGGTTGCCATTGATGAGACCGGGATGTCCATTCGTGAAATATTCGTGAACGTACCCGTTTTCGCCTGTGCGGTGCTCACCAAGAGTGGGGTCAGACCCACGGTGGTCCTCACGGCGCACGGATGAAGTAACCAAATCATCGTGAAAGTCATCCGGAGAATGTAAGTCACTGTCCGCTTTCCCAGCATGCACAACCGAGTCCATAGAGGTCTCTGATGTAGGGCTGCCCAGGCTGTAGAAGAAAATGTGGTGAAATAAAACAAAATGCCCAAAGATCACAAACGTCGTTTTCACAACACAAGGGTGAAAAGTGCCGTACTGTATTGAAGGACTGTGAGAAACCATGATTGACAACCGTTGTGGACAGCTTGACTGAATGGAACGCATAATAAGCGTGCATAAGCATTTTACCAGAGGAAAAGAACAAAGAAAACGCAATTGCAATAAGCGAGTCATCAGAAGTAGAAAACGTAAAAATAGTCAGAACTAGTAAGAAGGTAACTAGAGTGTGTGTCACGCGGGTACTGAGGCGACTGGTGGGAAATGAGGACAGGTTACCCTGTGGTATGGGAGAAATGAAAACCAGATACTCAAAAATAGACGGTGCTTAGACGCCAAGAGTGCAGTATACGACGAGCTAGAAAAGTGGAGTCGCAAGGTCAAAAGTGGTTCACTTACTTGAACGCATCAACTGAATGATCGCCGGTGGCGTCCACGACCAGGTGGTCAAAACCCATGGGGATACCGGGGGTATCAGCCTGTTCTTGCACACACTCTCCCTTGGCCTCATCCAAAGTAGTAGAATCAGCCGTTTGCACTTGTTCCAGAAGAGTTTCAGCGGTAAATGGGACGGAAGAAACGTGAGAAGATTGCACACAAGTGGTGGAGTCCACAGAATCCTCCGCCGGAGGAGCAGGATCATTGGAATCGCAGACGTAATTCTCGCGTTGAGCCTCTTCCAATGAATCCGCGGACAAGCGGATTGGTTGTTGATGCCAGTTAGTTGAGTCGTAACTAGAATCCGGTGGGTGGTGCAAAGCACCGGGTGAAGCATCCATCATCACATTAGTCTCGTTAACGTCGCTGCTCTCGTGAACAGCTTCAGAGAACCCTGTAGATACGGCATCGCGAACTGGAATGGCAAATGGCTCTCTCTCCGCAAACGCAGAGTGGCTCTGTGTATGTGCGTAATCTGGGAATGAAGGACTGTGAGCGGAAGAGGCCCACAGCTCGTGATCATTTGCATCCATGTCGCTGATGTCTGAAGACTGTCTTTCGGGAGATCCCGGTCCGTGATACACAAGCTCCGATACTTCCGAACCAACAGTGACTTCAGCCCCTGAAATTTTAGCATCGGGCTCCAAAACATTCACATCAAGGCCCGAAACGCCTGTTACAATAGGGGAAGAACGCTCATTAAAAACAGCTTTCGTGGATGATTGATAGTACTCTTGCTGATTTTCGGAAGCATCTGGGATCATTTGTGGAATTGAGTCTCTTGCGTCTGGAAGGTTAGCTCCGGGCCGCATTTGGAAATGAGTATACTCCTCCTCAAGCGACTGAACAGATTTCGCACCGTCCCCTTCGATAACACCATTTAGGGGTGTCTCTGCGCAAAAAGGCTCGTAATGCCGAAAAGTGGCAAGAGAGTCACCTTGCGGATCCAAGGGATAAGAAGATTCACCTTCGGTCGACTGAACTGGTGAGACGGGAACTGCGTGAGCGAACTGATCCGACAGTCCGTCACCTTCAGCATTCCCTTGTTCTGAGAAGAATGGTGTGGATTTGGGAAGTGTGTCCGCTAAAAAGTCGGGTGCTGACTCAGTCACCGGGTCGTCATAAGCGTGTGGAACCCCTTCCACCTCTTCGTAACCAACACCAAATGGTGGACGGCTCATGGCGATGCTGTCAGTTACATTTGGGAAGATGGGCTCATTAACCTCATCAGGACGATAATCCGATTCGCTCTGTGAAGCATTCACCAATTCGGCAGGTAGAACTAACTCATCGGAGGATGGGGGGTAACATGGTGGACGGAACAAAGAAGTATCGACCCCGGACTCAGTTAAGTGAAGGCCGTCGGGGTACGAATCGGTGACAGCTGGATCGATGAGCTTGAGAGCTTCTGAAACAGAGGAATCCTCCAAACCGGGATGCGAGAAAGACAGATTTGAATAAGGTCTAGCGTCACCTTGTGATGCATGTACTTCGTCAGCTTCTTTCTTCTCTTCTGCACAGAAGTGCTCATCCGGAAGCCGACTTTCTCCTTCAATGAAGGCTGTAGGCAACGAAGATGACGTCGATAACTCAACTGCAGTCGACTCAGCAAATGCTGGCGGTTGCTTAACCGGTTCAATGGAAGGGAATTCATCATCGACAGACGGCACTGGAATGTCATCCATCGTATCTGATTCATCGGCTTCATGGAAGTGTTCAGCCTTGTGAACTTCATAAACATCGCTGTAACCCTGCAGCGGATGAGCCATTTGATGAGCATTTGTAGGATAATCGACTGGTGGGGCGTTCTGGTCATCTGGTTCCGATATCTCGGGTGTCACGTGCGCTGCGGTAGTGAGAGACTGTTCCATTGATCGCCAACCAGACATGAGAGGATCCATGGGAGCCAACTCCAGAGAATCCCGAAGCTGCTGATCGACTTCAATAGCCATGTTCTTAGGCACGTCTGGAGGTGGAGTGACTTCGAGAGTGGTGGGAATGACAGAAACGTCAGAGGGAGTAGCTTCTTCGGGTATGGACGAACTCAGCTCACCTTTGACAGTTGCGTCGGATTTTGTCGGCGCCACGGTTGGCAGAGTTGGCGGAGCCTTTGGCCGCGGTTTTGCATGAGCGGTGGTTGGAATTTGCTTACTTGCAACCAAGTTTGAGTGGGTCGCAAGACGATCGGCAGTGGATGGCGCGGGGGGTTTCGTAGCCCCGGTGGGTCTCGTCGATGGCACGGAAGGTTTCGAAAGCAGTGCGGTGGGTTTCGAAGACAGGCGAGTGGTGCTCTTGGCAGGTATAGTCTTGGCTGGGGGCGAAGCCTTCGCCGTTGGAGCCGTTGACGGCCGCTGTTGTGGTTTTGACTCAGAAGTTGGGACCGTCTTCTTAGGTAAACTAGGAGCCATATCCGTTTGTCGGGCAGTGGACGGGCGCTCGGTAGCAGGCCGTGCCGTAGCAACACTGGTTTTAGGTGGAGGAGCTTTTGTTGATGGAGCCGAAGTCACTGTGGCTGCACGCGACTTGAGTGGAGTGGTGGTAGGTTTGGAAGCACTAGGAGATTGGGGAAAAACACATGGGCAATTGAACAATGAGGTCAGTAAGTTAAGAGACGGAAACGTCATCGGAACACAGTTGTAGAGAATAGATAAACTGGTTATGCAACATAAGCTTCATCGATGGGTGCAAAGTGATACATAGGCTCACCTTGTCGACCTAGACGACGAATCGCTGGAGGGCTTATGTGTTGATTTCCCTGGGACGGTTGACGTCACGGAGGAACCGTGAACAAGAACCTGTGGTACATGAACCAGTGCCTTTAAAAGACGACCAAGACCTTGGACAGGGGTTGCACCGGGTAGTTGCGTGGTTGGGAGCAGGATCCGCAATGGAGAAGCATGTGAATCCTGATGAACCGTGGAGGTCCACAAGAGCATTAAACCGGCGCGTTGAGCGAGTGGCTGCAATCTCAGCTCACCCCATCCAAGTTTGAAGTAAAGCACGGTGGAGGTCGGCAGGGCTTCTGATGCCAAATTGTTGCCGGCCCACGTGGATTCGTGCGGCCCGGTAGTACTGGAAGGGGGTGTCAAGAGAAGATCTGTCGCGGTTTCAGAAGGCGTCGATGTTAAACTGGGTGGGAGTATGAGCTCACCAAAAATGTGCGCTTCGTTGATTCCACTGTGGATCAAATCATTGACAAAGCGGTAAGTCAGTAAGTTGCTGGGTGACCAATCTGGTAACACGACGGCGTCCAGCCTGGTGAAAGAGAAAGCAACGCGGAGAGGGAATGGTGAGCACATGGGTACAGTTAAAGTGGAATAAGCTACACAGGTATCGTAACGGAGGACTGACCATCGAAGGAAGTAAGGCCAAGCAGAAAGCTAACTTCGCATACTCGTGTCGAAAAGCATGCGAACACGAACAACAGCTAAGCATTGGAACATAACCGGCACTACGTTGAGTGTCACAAGTCATGTTCGCTGGTTACATCACCACTACGTCTATTCGTTAGACCGCTGCTAATACATAGCGCACCTCATCACGACTCGGGGTCAAGAACGAAGCATTCACGAAGGGGAGAAATTAGTTCCTTGGGTGTTAAGGTCCAAGACAGCAGGTCATGGCACAACTTAGACAATATAAACAGTAAGTTGTTTGAAAACGTAGCAATTATTCAATCAAGTGGAAGGTACGGAAAAAATGCATGATAGGATTAGCGGAATGTTACAAGCAATAAATGAGTAGGCACTCTGAGCCATACAGCTCCTGGACAAAAGAGGGTAAACCCGTCAAAAACTACCTGCGGTTGAACCTGGTCGATACATCGGGGAAAGAAGTCAATTTTATCGAAACAAGCAAGGAAGCGAGTGGATGATCCAGTGACCCACATAAGATTCTGTGATCACACTCCCGAGCTAAATCTGGTCCCCATTAAAAGGTAGACCAGGATATTGAGTCAAAGGCTCTAGAGGAGTTCACCGATCAAGCATCAACAAATTCCTTTGCCAGGTGGGCCGGACCATGCGGTAGGAGTGTGGAGATGGAAACTATCGGCATCCTATGATCCCCGCCCAGAAAAGAGAACATGGATTTCCTTCCTACTTTATCTACCGGGGAGTTAACAGTTTACACCAGATATTGCGGAGCGTATCTTTGGTTACACTATTTCTGACTCTTTGATTCTTTGAATTCTTTGTAAAAGGACTGAGAGACTGCGCGTGCTACGCGATAAGCTACCAAAAGGAGTTAAGGCAACTTGAAGAATCCTCGTCTCCATTGACAAACTCGGCACCGAAACTGTTTTTCCAATAGGAAACAAATGTCATTGACTTACTTCAGTCGAAATTATTATTTGCGCATACGGGACCGTTTCTTCGGATGACACCTGTGCACTCCAGGCCATTTTCCATTTGGATTCTTAACATTGCTATTTTAGTCCATCCGCGGTAATTTTAAAATGTTGAAAATACACCCATTTGGGTACACAAAGCCTACAGTGACTTGACTTGAAGCTTAATGTCTCAAAAAACATCGTTTTCACCGTTGGTACTTTATATCTGACAAACCCGCAGACTCACTCCTGTACTCCCAAGAGTAGATTTAGAGCCATATCTTCGAGACACGCATACAGAACAGTATATAACCAACGTCCGACCACTGGCCTTAGATTTTAGTGATGATGAACGTATACATGTCATGTTTCCGGTGAAACGTGACTCCGATATCTAAGGTCTGAGCGATATAGTCGCTGGAATTGTCGACTAAGCCGCAGTCAGATTTGTGCGGTTTCTTCGTACTGCGAGCAGAGCTCGTTGGTCGTCTTGTAGTACAGGTGTGTACTGGAAAGCTACTACGTTGCGCATCCCAATCCGAGTTTAACCAAAGAAATGAGACGATGCCGCAACTAGCATGTGCGTAAGCCCTACAGTTGTTCAGTGGATGTTATTCCATATAGCCATATTTGCAGAATCAAACGAAAACACCGATGCACAACACACATGATCTGGGGATATAGAACAATCTGGTGTTAGACATGAGTGTAAATACCACATAAGAAATACAACGATGCACGCGCCGGCGTCGGAGAAAAAACGGTGAGTACGTCGTTTCGGAAGGTGGACCAAGAGCAAAAGCGCACGATGAGTCAATCGCTGATGTCGGGACTTCAATGGGCGCCGAGTAAGAGCCCCACTGTCTCGCACAAGCGCGTCTGCACCCAAATGTCTGAGTCAGTTAACTTGACGCATGTGTGTCTGACACACACAGCCTTCCTGGTATCATTTGCTGGATGGTTTAGCCTGTGACAGTCAATTCTAACGGTTCTCGGCCCCTATTGCGATTACAACGGGGCACAAAAGACCGACTGTCTCGATATCCTGTCCAGTTTGAGCGGTTAATTGCGATCCAGATATCCACGAGTTATGGCTACCGTTACCATGATGGCAAAGGCAAGGACACCACGTTGTGTAACAACGCTCTGTATTGGGAATGGATCAGACACCACATGCTTGTCAAGCGGGTGGCATTTAAGATGAAATATTCGGTAAGAGTGCGTTGTTTATGGATCCAGTCGTTAGGTTAGAGAGAAGAATAGGATGGAGGCCAAGTAGATCTAGCCGATCTCACTTTCTAGAAAACGCCTATGAGTTATTTGGAAGCAGTGTTGACGAGGCCAATGACCTACCTAATGTACCATAGATGATAAAATGCGGTTATTCTTGAAGAAGGAACCGAGAGCTGGTGTTATATCGCCCTGGGCATCTGGCAACGGATTGTTGGGAAAAACTTCCCCAGTGTATTTCACATGGCCGAACAGAGCAGGTGAGTCACGTACAATCGTATTCCTACTTTTTTCAACAAAAATCTAGAGAATTAGTGGTGACTAATTTTCGTAGGGCTAGGTCGTATCGATCTCAGTTGTTAGGGGACAGAAGTTTAGCCCCGAATAGGGGCTTGGTGGACAGTGTGCCAGCGTCGCACAGCGTCGGAGTCGATTTCGAACCCTAGAATGCGTGTGCCGAGTATCGAACCGGGCGTTGCCTTCCCCATAGTGCTCTGACCATGATAGGCTGTCCAATTGAGCATTCAGGTTAGAAGTCAAGGGTACGCGTGGGAAGAAAGTCACAGATGACCGCGTAGTCCATTCGTTGGGAGAGAAACCGGCGTTGCTAAAACCCATCATTGCCCAGCCCAGACTTATTAGGGTCGAGTAATCTCAGCACACCTGTGTGAGCGCAACCCAACATCAGAGACACCCTGAAAGCGGAATCTGAAATAAGCAAAGTGATTGTCTGGGAATTGCTTGAATTCCGACACCGATTTCACTTGCACTTACAGTACTCGACGGCTGAAACAGAAGGCGAGCTACATGTTTCACGTCCGGCACTATGAGCTCGCACCCGTTGCTGCGGGTGTTGTTTGGTGTATGCACGTGCAGCAGCGGTCCCAAGGTGACACAGATGAGTTACTGTAAGGTCCTATGGAAACCGGCGATAGGACAGGATGCGTAACTTAAGTCTCTTGCATCGGTCTCCTTACGACATACCCTGTAAACGACGAGTCTGGTACATACATGCTGAACATCTGCCTCTGCATGACACCAAGGGTGGATGAGCCCGACTTGAGCAATGGCCTTATGAAGGAAAATGATAAAAAGGGCATCAGTAGTACGTTGGCACGCAGTACCGACGCTTTGCTGCCACGCAACCACCACCGGTCACACGCGAGGTAAGGATACTGCGAGGGTTGTTGCGCCCCTACACAGGCTCGAAGCCGCACCGTCAGATTGCAAGACAAGCTCGTTACCTTAAGGCTATGGGCCGGTGACGAAAAAAGAGAAGTGCGTGGTAATCACATCAGTGCATAAGCTGCATGTGCGCTATCAGAGACGCAGAGCACGTGGTTGTCATCAGTGCCGCCTTATCTTCACGTGATATACAGCTGTTTGTGACCGTATGTTACCAACAAAATGTGGCTGTTTTGACCATGAATGTTGGCCTAATGCATTTAGGCTTTACACAGCAGATACCTTTTCTACCTCTCTGCTCTCGCTCCATGGGTCATTGCGATCGTGTGACAATGAAGCATTAGTTCGAATAACTAATGTACTTCGGCTGCTGCTGCCGATGATGACAAACAGTGAGACAGGTTACCGAAGATGCATTAAGTCATGGTATGCGCGCGTCGGAGAGAAAGCACAAGTCGAACACAAATTAAGGCAGACTGAGGACAAGTAGCAGCACCTGTTTGGGAATCGGACAGAAGGAGGAGACTACGTTAGAACAACCAAGGTTCGAGATGCAGAAATAAAATGGATAAGACAACGGAGAAGTAGTTGGACTGGTAGATTCTAACTCCTAGATGATCATTTGGAGATGAGTTCATTGACTAGCGGAAGCTTACGTCGACGACGAATCACTAAGTTAACTGAAAGGGTAAAGGAGGAAATGTAGCTACGTTTAGAAAACTCTGTACAAAGTCGAATCCATGGGAAAAAGCAAATTGAGAGGTAAGGCCTCAGAATCCCGTTGGAATACGTACGGGGACAGTCCCAAGCAACCATGTTAAATTCAGACTTGAGTCTAGATTGTTGAATGGCTTATTTGTCGGAGGATGTATAACCTGAAGTAGAAGACAGAAAACTACCGTTCCACCAGTCTGTAGGTCAAATGAACATGAAGGTCTTTTTATAAAATTCTCAACGTGAAAACGCATGTAACACCATCAGAATCTGGACAACAGCTCATTGCCCAAATATTTCCTCTAATTATCGAGACCACCATATATTTATTCTGGTGAACGATTTTTACAATTTTGCATATAACGGTTAAATTCCAGTTTTCTGCCGCAATCACTACGTGTTAGCTGTAAGAGCGCATCATATACACACATCAAGTGCTTTGCAGCCATATGCACCCAGATATTTCACTTTGAGAGCCGTTCCATGTATCAGAATCGCCCACTTGTACCATTTGCACCCATTGCAACGAAGCTTCCATAGACTAAAATGTGTTTTCTTATGGAACCGCATACTGAGCCATTTCGAGGGTAGAAATTCCACAAAAGAACCTAAATACTTGTTTATTGCAATAAAAGTGACATTAGGCGCTAATATACAAAGGGAATTATAGTATCGTCCACCGATTATTTTATTTGAATTTTCGCGCCGCGGACTGATGAAACCCTACCATGGGAAGGCAGCATCTGGCACTGATCGAGTTCGGTTTTATCTCACATGGCTGTCTCAGACTATGCTGAAACTTCAGCGTATTTTCCTAGCTTCTGATAATCGATAGGTCTGGTGTAAATGTTCCTGAAAAAGGACACAGTGAGTGAGGAGATGCGCACTGGGTTACAGCCTACTCCAATTGCCCAGCAGTGAAAAGGCAACCGCTTGTTACGCGAAAACAGCGGAAGAGTGAAAAAGCCTAGATGATAACTTCTTCGGATATACAGTGACGATGTATGTGGAAGAAAAGTTTGGTAAGATCGAGTTTCGCCGGTAGAACAGGAGCGAGAATTAAAGAAAACACAGCAATGGGAATGCGCGTGAAAAAGTGAGAGCTCACTTAGAAAGATTTCTGACCATGGACCACCATACTGGGGGACGCTGTGATGTAAACGAGCCCCCAAACAGCATGGCAAATCCCCGAAGAGAGAATAAGGCACTAGAAGGAGATCCTAACCCGCCGCCTGGGAACAAATAAAGAGCGGGACGTGGGGCCGAAAGGGCGCATCCCAAAGGAGGAGTGCCATCAGCGTCGAAAGCAGTTTGGGTGACTTGGTGTTGATCAAGTGCGAGTTGAACGAATCCGCGTATTCCTTCGTAGGAAGCTGAGAAATAGGGAGCATGAAGGCAAAGTGGTGAGAAATTGTGATGTGAACGTATGGGAAGAGACAGACGTGAAAATAATAATAATAAACGTAATACCAATAATAACGCAAGATGTATATTTGTGATTTTTGTCGCAAACCAGCATCTGAGCATTGGGGAAGCAAGACAATAAACTTCACGCTTTGAAGGAGAATTGGCAATATTGAGATACAAGCGCTCGGTGATGCAGGACCGAAAAGAGCAAGATGATTGTTCGAACGTAGGGGGATACAACAAAGTTCAGCTAGTCTACTTAACGGTGCAACGTCACGCACTTAACACAAGCACCAGGTTGGCTGGTGGCATCCCCATACCTGTTCAACTCGGTACCCCCCGGACAAAGCCTTGCACATGGTTACAGTGTGATGGCGAGTTGTTCAATATTAAAAATGTTGAAAAGCCTACTCCAGTGCACCTTTCCAAACTCAAGCTCTCAATGTAATGAGAATTCCCACGAAGAATGAATAGACGGCGAATACACATGCTATAAGAAACCTCCCGGGTAATAAAGCCTTTCTATCGATAACTATATTCAGCCATCGGATGTTCCAAGTGGAGCGGCTCGCGCAGCAAGGTACAGCAGATGCGTCATAGATATAGCTGAATAAGAGTTCTAATTTACTTCGCTTCTGGAAGGTAGAACTACACACCCACATTGTGCGCTCAATTAGACGATATGTAGGATGGTACCTGCTGTCCACTCACGGCAGCTTCGGCTTACACATGACTCTCAGGTAGAGAAGTCAGTTCCGCAGGCAGGCTAAATATAACACTAAAAAGCATTAGCATTACGCTGACAGATATCGCCGACACTTCAGTTCCACCAAACTACAGCCGGTCGCGTGTGGACTGAGTGTACCGCGACGTCACCAGCACCTACGCGGATTCGAACCTGTAACCTGCCGGTTACAATGCCAACGTGCAATCGTCCTGGCTACTGGCCGCAAGCACACTTGCAACAAAACCGCTAGTAAACGCGTATCATAACATCAATACAATCATCCATCATATAAACTGTGCAGAACTTAACCTGTATACGTGTGCTACGTGTCCCAAGACATTACAATGCCCCAGTTAGAGATGGCTGGTTGTTGATCCTGATTCGTCCCCACTGTTTGGAAAGTAGGTCGCCAGAGCACACTGAGACGTCTCATAATCATAGTCACAAGAAAGCCCCTTCAGATGTTACTGGGGTGTGCCGGCTGTGTGTGCGAACTCATCTAGGTTGCAGGAGGAGAAATGACTGGTATTCATGCACCAGCAACTGAAAGTCTCGTCATCCCTACCAGTAGCTGTGCTAAAGGTGTCCGGGCACGTGTGCATGTGTACCGCAGGGGGAACAAGTCGACTTGAAGAGTGGTAACCGGTGCAAACCACACGAGTGACCCTTTCGTCATACAAGCGTGCAAGCCAGAACTGGCGCTCTGTGCATAGCAGATTGACTGTGAAGCATTTCTGCGACGGTGACCTCTTGTTGCAAAGCAAAAACAAAGATCGAAGTATACGGCTGTCGTGGAAGAGACGTTCGCAAGAAAGCGTGATTGTACGGATTGCAAATGCATTAGGCAGATAAACATCATCGGTTCGGCAACAAGAACGTAAACAACGAAAACTGGAGTGGGGAAGGGTGGTGTGTGTCTGTGTTTGCAATGAGGGCCGCGAGAAAGCACACGGCGGCACAGAGGTTGTCTGCTGCTACAGCCGGAAGGTAAATGTGGCGATCCAATGAGTGCGCAAAATTGCATGCACCCAAGTGCACGCACGAATGTGCCGAAGAGTATAAAAAGTCAAGAATAGTGTAGAGGAAACTAAACCCATCTGGACGACAAAAGTTAGTTAGGTGCGACAGCGAGCGTATCAGGCAAAAGGATTGGATTCACATAGGCGAAGCAAGGCATCAGCATCGTCAGTTAGCCCGTAGTACGTCCTGCCGATGCTTCATTGCCACGCGACCTCCAACAGTCGCAGGTGGGCTCGGGATGTTGCGAGGTCACCTACGCAGATTCAAACCAATGACAAACGGATTACGAAGCGGAAATTTTGCAACAATCGGCCACCGGCCGACCACATAAGTAAACTGAAGAAAGATGTCAACTCATTTTTCGACCATTGGTGACATGCACAGTATTTAGAAGCCACTCGTGTGGTGCTGTAGGACTCGCAAATAAAGCTAACTGAACCTCATTGAAGCACTTCGCGGTAAAGCTAAATGAAACCTGTAGTCGGCAAAGAAAGGACGCTGAGACGACAAGGTCGCGTCAATGGTGATTCCTAGGACCTAGAATGGGTAAGATCACGCGTTGAACCGAATGTGGTCGATTAGGTGACAAAAATGCACTAGAATTCAGGAAGGGGTAGCCCGGTTCCAGTACGAATAGATCGTAAAAGTGTTGGGAGGATGCGTAACATTATTATATATATATATATATATATATATATATATATATATATCGTGACTATTCTTAATTGCCTGGTTACGTTTGCCACCGTCCGTTCAAAAGCATCATTCCCTTGCTTCGATTGGCAGCCTTAAGTCGTTCATAATGAATGTTAGCTCAGGGACCCATTTCCACGAATTCGTGTGATTGGTATTTTCTTATTTGCTTGTATTATTCAGTGTCTCCCATGTTGATGATTGGCCCCAAACGTATTTCAGGAGCCTCGATTCAACTACTGCTGTACCCTCTAACTGAGGCAGACTTCTCGTGTCCACAATTCTGTCCTGGCTTGTCTTCCGTGCCCTCGTTGCGGCCGTGGGATGCGAGTAGTCGGCGCGGACAACAAAAAAGTAGCGCAGAACCAGTCTGTTCCACGACACAATGGTGACGCCGAAAAATGCATTTGTACAGACACAGAAGCAAAGCTAGGGAGAATATGGAAGATAAATGACCGACTGATGTCGTCAAATCACGCTCTACAGTCCCAGGAGCACGGGGAATTTACCTGAGTTTGACCGCTGCAGTGAGACTTAATTGTTTCGGACCTATGACACATTCAAATATCCCATTACCGTTGAATGAAGGGAACCGCCCGTTTCGGGAGACAAGAGAGCACCTGAGATAACGTAGTATCCATGAGAATGCTTAGTGGTGATGGTCATGCTATTTCGCTAAAAGAACAACCCAGGCTTCTGAGAAGATTCGTCGAGCTATATGTCCCCCACATGACATGGAAGCTCATCATCGGTTACCCAGGGCCTTGTTCTCCGTGCCAGAGGCGAAATGGTGCAAGGCTAGAGGGGGAAAAGCTAACCTGGTAGCGGGGAATGAGGACACTAACGGCTAAAATGGGTGCTGATGGCCCGCCTCGCATTCCACAAGTTGAGGCTCATGCGGCCAACGCTATATTTTGCGCGAACTTTACAGAACATGGCTCACAAGATACATCGGTAGTGCATTTGCTGTCGTCTCCTAGTAGGTCTATTTATTTATGGTGTCTCTGATGGTGACCTGTCGCAGAGGATTCATTTTAGACGAAACTATCACTGTTTCAAGGAAACTGTAAAATAGATATTGCTGTGCGTCCGCACTATGTACAGCAGTGTTCATGACCACGAGCGCATACATGGTGCAGCTAGACTCTAGATTTCCTCTTCTGACTCCGCCATCTAACACAAGCTATCGCTACAATGAAGCCACATAGGATGAGGGTGCAGTAGTCGACCCAAGATAGACATTCGCCAAAGTCCCAGTGTTTGTGTCTAGAAAATGTCGGAGCACAAAAGAGGGACGAGCGGAAGATAGGACGACTGCAAGGATCAACCGCGTTTCATTCATCCTAGCAAGATGAGTAAAATGAACAAAGTTTGCAAAACCACAACGTCCCAACCAACAACGTAGCTCCCAAGTTACCGTGTGAACGGAAACAAACGCCACGGGAAATGATGGGCATGACCGCACAACAGTCACAGAAATAACCAGCTGCGTGCCGTAACGGCACTTCGCTGCCACACGACTACCAACAGTCGTACGCAGGCAAAGTATACCGAGACGACGCGGATTCGAGCTGGTGACCTTATGGTTGCAAACCAGACGCGCAGACCACTTACAAATCAGAAGCAGCAAACGGGCATCCGTTGATGGCATCATCGTTATCCGCAACATCAGCCATTTGAACTGGTGCTTCGCTGCCATGCAATCATAACGACTTATGAAACGAGAAATAATAAGAGGGAGAGAAGGGGGACATACCGGAAACCCTTAATGTCATAAGCAAGACGCCCACATCGTGTCAAGAACATGCCACCACAAACAGCTGGCTATCGTGCAAAGATAAGGTGGCATCGGCGAGACAGCTTCCTTGCGACATTCACTACTCCGCATCATAAGCAACCATTACTCCGCACATAACTCAGCACCAAACACAATCTAAACAGGCAACCCGACTAGGGGACGGAAGCAGACGCCCCGCTGGTGCACACTGTGAGCCATGTCCTGTAGTCTCGAGCCAAGCACAAGGCGAGTCACGTGGACCACAGTCAGGAAAGCGATACGAACAGAAGGGCACCCAGTTTGGTTATCAGTGACTTCATTACTAGCTGCCAACTCAACTTCTTGTCCACCGCGAGCATTGCGCCACCCTACATCTGGCAGACTAAACAGGGCCCTAATCGGCAAGCAGTGGCCCGGTATATGTAATAGGTACCCAAATCAACGCAACTTATTAAGTGCTATCTTGTACTAAAAAACCAGCGTGGGTATTATTGCCTAGTACTCGCCTACGCACATCATTGCGGACACGGCTGGTGCCACCTGACACCAGCAATGCTCCGCGGACAGCGATGACCACAGATTTGAAGGCGCCTCAGATGTTCAGACAGAAACAGCCAAGTCGCACTTCCATGGAGTAGGACGGCTCTTACTGTGGTCTTGTAAACACGGTCTTACAAACGGAGGAAAACTACCTTCTATCGCCAAAGATGTCGCAGATTCAAAGAGGGAGTTCACTTGCTATGCGCCCATTGTTGCTAATAAAGCAGCCTAGATAAGTGAATTGATTAACTACCTCGAGTTTCACGCTATCTAGGATCAAGGGATGAACAAATGGCTCGTTGTCCTGCAGCGACACTTTGCACTTTGAAGATGCGAAGCGCATACCAAATAATAGGAGCACTCTAGAGATACGCTGATGGCACCTATGCACTGAATGAGAAAAATATAATGGTGCATGTTGAACAAGCGATAACATTGAATAAAGCGACTCACCAGTCTGCGAAGGTTCGAGGAGTACTGGTTTTCCGTTGGACCGCCAGCTGCCGTCAATATGCACTGTCAGTTGGACCATACGGACATCCACGTGGCTCAATATCTTTTGAGTATGTCCGTTCTTCTGAGCTGACCAACTTGTTTCCGGACCCGCCAACGGTGTGACCAAGTTCAGGGTCAATTTATCCCCAATGTTTGGAAATTTCTGCAACTGAGGCCACCATGCCTAGGGAGCACACAATAGGGGAAACTGGTTGAGAAACGCAACACACGATGGAGTGTGGGCAAGACAAGCAAACAGGCAACGCGAGGACAAGCGCTTCGCATGATGACGACGGTAAACTTCGAGTTCTGATCGGATATGCAGGGAAAAAGGAATTCGTTAATGGAGAAACACTGCTCCCCAAAGCGGTTGCCTCTCTCTAATTGCCTGTTCAAATAGATCGTGCACAACTTCATGGGTTACCTGAAGAGCATAGTCGCCGTCTGCGTCCGCATACGTATCGCCAGTCACACAAGCAGGGTAAAGTATTTATAGGAAATGCAGAGGGGAAAGAAATGTAATCCAATCCAAAAAACAAATTCAATAGCATCACTGAGTTGAGTTAATTGACCTCAACGGAGTTCAGCCGCATGTTCGGTAGGGTAATTAGTTGTACACTTTGACCTGAACAATGTTCAGCTTCATTGTGATGTAGTTAATGTAGTTAATCGATCACACGGCTTGGGTTCGGGATACTCTGACCTAACAGGCAACGGTGCAACCACATCACACAAGGAAATACGCCGTGCACATGCTAGGTGTATAATGATCTGCATGGGGAGGCACTAGAGAATGTTGACGCAGAAAATGAAATAAATCCGCCACTGAGTAAGTGACATTCGGAGAACAATGTCGTTGTTCAACCATTGCTGAAAACTGATGAGAGCCACGCAAAGGAGCATTCTATCGTGAAATAGTAATATGTAGACAGAACGAATGCCTAAAGAATGACCTGTTGGTTCGTCGTTTATTTGTTTTTGTAACGATGCTTTGCCATTGATACAGACTAGGACTGGTATGTCTTCTCATGTGGCACAGTTCCGTGAGCCGGACGCGGTTCCGTCTCAACTAGTGTATGGGCCAGTAGCACATCTACAGGTTCCATACTGAAAACAGAGAGCTAGAAGAGATACATCTGAATTGCTCCTTCGATGCAGTAGTGGGCACGCACGAGGAATAAGACTGTTTATTACTGCGCACTGTCAACGGCTGTGTGACGTACTATTTTTAGATGCAATGAAATATGTAATATGAAAAGTGGACGTCCAGGATTTTCTTGAATTCCGACACTAATTTCGCCTCGACTAATTTCTCCGGCAAACTGTTCCACTGTTCCGCTTCAGCTCCGATACCACAAGTTTGCACCGGTGCACACGAGTGCTGCTTGGTGCGCGCACGAACAGCAGCTGTCTCAACATAAGTAAGTCACCCAGTGCGTCAGTATGAGGTCCACTCGTAACAGAGGATACGACAGGGTGCATCGGTCTTCGTACGGCATACCCCGTAAACTGGGAAGGAGTCTGGTAGCCACATGTTGAACACGTTCCAGTCTCTGCACCTCGCTACGAGTGAGAAGACACCAGGTCTTACGATGGAATAGTAGAAGTGGTAACGTATTCAGAGCAAGTGCGAAAGCTGCGTTTGAGCGCCCAAAGTATGCGCACTCAGTTTCCATATGGCTTGTTCGTATTGTCCACAGACTTCAAATCGTAGAGTGAGAGTACGTTCAGAGCATTCACAGAAAACGTGTGGTGTGGCGGTTGGTCGCCCATTATCAATGCCATCATAGTCGACGGGTGCATGCTGTCACTTCGCCTATGGCTAGTTATTTGTCGGCTGTACAGTCCCGGTTGATCGCTGATAAGCGGTTGTACCACAATTAACTAACAAAGAGGTGATATCGGTTTGGTCATATACACAATGACCTTTGATTTGTCCAATCTTTCTAATTGAACGATCAAGATAAGAGCGATAATGCGCCAGAAGTGGACTCCCTTATATGTAGGGCCCATCAATACAGTTAAGAGAAAATGCAAAATGTGGTAGTGTAAAGGAAGAAAACTCGAACGCCGGGAACTACAATGGTGGTAGTGGTTTTTGCCTAAAAGTGTTCGTATGTAAGTGAACAAAAGGAGGTGCACTCCACAAAGAAGTAGACTGTGATCGCACAATCGTTGATGACCGGACAAACAGTGGGTCAACAAAACACCAAGTGATCAGAAAGCGTAGGAGGATAAGATGGAAGCAAAAAGGTGTTAAGTGGGTGGATAAAATGGACCTGGAATGGGGCGTAGATGCATTAGTTGATTGAGGAGATGAATTGCTCGATAATATCATCAGCAATAAACACCTAGTCAGAAGGTATCGCAGAGCAAAGCTACGAAAACGACTCAAACAAAGAGAGTTGATTCACCAGACAACGGCCCACTGAATGTGAAATAGAAGACAAGAGTGGAGCGGCAGTGGATATTTAGGGGAGCCTGGTGAAATCTACGAGAAAAACAAAACCGCACGAGCTGAAGAGACGCTGAGAAGGATGGCATAGTTGAGGGAGCCAGGGGCGTGATCACTATTGATCTCATCCAGGCAAAGTAACTAAGTTTTGTGTGGCGATTCGTCGCAGCTACATTAAGCCAGACAGGCACCACACATTCAGGGAGGAGATAGACGGCCGTTTCGTCGTATTGAGACTCGTCAGTGGCGCGCCTCCGCCGGATCCGAACCCATGACCTTATTCCTACGAGTCAGCGACTCAGGATACTCACCGTTAAACATCCATTCGACGTAGAAAGTATTCAGCATGATGGATTACCTAGAAACCAACCAACGTCGTAAGTCGGTAGAATAAAACAACGGAAAGCGAAAAATAGAATTAAGAAGAATTAAAGTCTGTCGGAAAGACAAATCAAACCGAAGATAGCGTTTCACTTATGAATGTGATTCGATAAATGTGACCGTGAGATCATTTAACGGGCTGTTGTAACCGTTTCAGTTAGTCTAGTTAAGCAACTAAAATCCAGTTTCCAGGGCTCAGGTAGCTGATAAAAAATTAACAAACATGAAAAGAGAGGAAAAAATCTTAATTGAAATCAGTAAGGGCAAAATACGCGTCAGATAAAACGGTCAACAAAAGTTAAAGTAAAAATCACGGACAATGCTGACGATCTTCGATAAAGCAAATATTTCCTGCAAGGTAAGCATCTGGATCTGATGAGAGTGTTTACCCCAAAAGAATTATTAACTCAGAACGTTTCTGGTTTTGATTCATGTTTCAAAATGTCGTAGCGACGCTATATTTGCGACTGAGCTAAGTCGCCGGGATTATAGTAGCTAGAACGGACATGCGCTGGCATGTCCAAGTCTCGCTGTCGATTTCGGCATGCTTTTTGTCACGTCATTGGCTAACTTACGGTCGACCGGAAGCTAGTGCACGCGCCCACTCTGAGCGGTGGAGTTGAACGCGTTCACTTTCAATCTGTGATTTTGATCGATGGTTTGTAAGCTGTGTTTGATATTATCATATGCTGCATCGCGTTTCGCTGCGATGTGATAAACTTTGCCTCTACTTACAGTATTCTTGGTGCAATGGTTGGCATCTCACGTGGACATCTACGAATCATACCTCTTAGTTCCCATGAACAACAGAAACCCAGAACTAGTCGAATAGGCCGACAAGCTCCACTCAGCAATGAAAACAGACTGAAACAGCTTGAACGTCCAATCGGGGAGGAAATACAACGGCAATGTAACGACTTGAGTTCCCAAGGATAGAAACCAGTTAGAGAAGCTTCCAACGCCATTAGCTTGATACAACTAGATACAGCACAGTTGCCTTAAAAGAGTGCAGAGTGGACTCGCTGATCGATACGCAGATACTGAAGCACAACACGATGAAGGTAGGGCAGATTAAGACGGATTCTACTGCTGTAAGATAACCAGAGGAGGAGGAAGATAAAACGGATGGGAAACAGCGCCGACGACGGAGTTGTAGTCAGTTTCATACTAGCAGCTAGTTCAGTTTCGCAACCATGAGCCACGTATCAGGTCGAGGTCGATCCAAGTGCCTGGACGTATGTTGTTAAATCGGTTATGTTTAACAACAATGACGACAACAATAAATTAAGAGGAATGAACAAAGACTGAAATCGTCACTTGAAAAATTGATCGGCACTCTGAAATGAGGGTTTTGGAATTCTAACTCGAAGCGAAAGCAGCATTGGAAAGGAAGCAGTCAGGAAAACACAGTAGAGAGTGGCTGATCGAACCATCCGAAAGGTGAGTATGCCTTATGCAAAGCAGGTAAACAGTCATCTGAATCAGTGCTTGGCGCTTAGTAAATGCACAAACCGCCTGAGTTTGAGTCGATCGATTTCCACAGAGCACGACTAACCTTCGGCAACGCCCAAATGTAAGATACCAGGATTGTAAAAAGTAAGCCGCACCCACATTGAAAATTGAATTACGATCAGAAACAGTGGGTGATTGCCGTAACTGTAGCAGCCGAAACACTCGACAGAGACTTAAATGTTCACGGGGAAAAGAACGGTGTTCTCCGGTTTACGGTGTGCAACATGTATGGAACTGCTGCTGAACCAATGAACGCATGAAAGCGCGCGGTCAACCGGTCGAATAATTCACTAATCGAGCACATAAGGAATCACCGAAATCTGAAGTTCAAGGTTTGCCCACCTAATCAAATGAACAGGATGGGGTAGAGGTTGGATGATAAAAAGGTCATTAGACCACAGTACGAACGTGGAAGAATATTTGGAGGTAACTTAGGTCCCAAAACGAAAGGATGATAGATAGTGAGATGACAAGCGTAACAAAGGTGACGAAACAATTCTAACAGACGGGAGAATGAAGTGTTTGATGGTTGAAATATGAAGGATTCACTTGACTGCAAACATCTCGAGCACAAACTTCAGTGGCACAAATGGGCAATAACGAAGAGAAGAATCTGGGCGAGCTTTGACGTGACACTACAGGAATTTGCCGGATGGAAAAGATAGCAACATACGCATACACTGGGGTCCATAAACCCTATGTCGATTAGGAACACCCAGGGCACCGAAATGAAGTCTAGCACATTTCGATGGGGCATTGCCTGGGGATCGAATTCCGTTCTACAGAGAAACAAGCCATTATGAATAGCCAGTACGAAAAAGCCAAGTTGTTCAGGC